AGTCAGTTGTGAATGCGAAGGGACTGGTGGCCACGGGAGGTAATGACAGGGGAGTCAGTTGTGAATGCGAAGGGACTGGTGGCCACGGGAGGTAATGACAGGGGAGTCGGTTGTGAGTGCGAAGGGACTGGTGGCCACGGGAGGTAATGACAGGGGAGTCAGTTGTGAATGCGAAGAGACTGGTGGCCACGGGAGGTAATGACAGGGGAGTCACTTGTGAATGCGAAGGGACTGGTGGTTACAGGATGATCAAGAAGGGAGCTTGGTCAGGTGACGGAAGAGTGCCGGTGGAGCGAGTGTCCAGAGTCTATCGAGAATGATCGAGAAAGGGGGCGTGGCCTTGTGTTGGTATATAAGGGAGATGCGCGGGAGACTCGGGGCTGTTGCAGTGGGGTCTCCGCCTGATGTCAAGTGAACGTGTCTTCAATAAAGTGAAGTGTGTCAAGTCGCCATTACACGTGTATGCCACTTGACTTGTCTGACCATTAAAATGTTCAGCACCCTCATCACAACATGTTTGTTGCCTCTAGTTTGCTTTGAAGGACCTTTGTAATTGCCCAGACAAGGAATCTTAACCATCTCTCGCCTGGACAAACAATATTAACACAAGACACAGAATGAATAGCTCATTGCACGAACATATACGTATAACGATTTATTTATGGTAGTTATACACAACGTAATTTATCATACAGGCTGATTTCACGAAAAACACCCAGATAACAATAAAATCACAATTTTTTTTTTCATATCCAATCTACAGAGGATCGTGTAGCTACTGGATAACGACTTTGTATACTGTGGAAGGGGAAAAATAATTTCCATTAGAGAGAGTATTATATTTTAAAAAAACCCCAATGAGATGCAGTCCCATTTTTATAAAAGATTCAATAATTTCCATTAGAGAGAGTATTATATTTTAAAAAACCCCAATGAGATGCAGTCCCATTTTTATAAAAGATTTAATGACACCGCCTTAATTCTAACCTGGTAGAGCCGAAGGGAGATTGAATTGCGGTGTCTAACGATGGTTCGATTTAATGTTGGAGAACACGTTGTCCCTCGCTTAGTGTCGTTTGCTCAATGTTGCCACTTTTTAAAATTAAGGTCACATCTTTAAAATTGGAAGTTGATTTGTTTCTTGCTGTGAGCGACCAGAGGTTAAAGTGTTTGCCGCATGTGTCACTTAAAATGCATGTGCAGTATACCAAATCGATATATATATTTTAGGTCCCTCAAATGTATCCCCTTTGATAAGTTACACTATAATCTATGGAATCGGATTAAGTGATAACGCTTCTAGGCACCATTTTCGGAAAATAAAGTCTATCATTTATTGTAAAAGCAGGATGGAGAAAACAAAGTTGCAAAAAGCATCTTTGCGCTTGAGATGCTTTGACCTGACTGCGAGTTCTTTAAATGTCAAAACAAAATCCCAAAGCGGTTTTGACGGCAGCACAAAAGTGAAGAGAGTGCGATCGGCGATTTAAAAGTACAGTACTCTATATACTTACTAAAAAAAAGAGACAACGCGGCTCGACTCGTTAGGAAAACTCTCCTCCTCATTGGGTTGAGATGTAGTGGGAGGTACGAGGTTTTAATAAAGTGGGGGGGGGGGGGAAGGTGTGAATCCAGAACATGATTTTATTAATCATAAAAACGATGACGTGTTGCTTATCGGAATCCCCCGATCACATCATGCGTTGTGGCTGCTTCAATACGAATCAAAGACGATCAAAGGAATTATTTAAGACAATGATCGTGCGCCATAATAATCTACACTTGCCCGTATTTCACAATGAGCTAACAAAAACGGACGGTGTGTTTACATGATACTGAAGTCAAATATTTTCAGATCACGTTGCAGAAATCAGACATGGTGATCCGATTAAACGCATAACAACGTGGCACGTTATGTTACTTTCACAAAAAATATAATTCCCTAGACTTTATGCCAATCGTAGTCAGTGTTATGTCAAAAGACGAAGAATCCAATGGAAGTTGGGTAAAAGCTTGTAAGGTAACATGTTTATAAAGGTATTTCATTCTGACTAGTAATTATGACAAATGATGCATTGAGAACTCTACCAGAGCAGTGCAGCCGCAAGAAGGAAGCACTTTCCCACACACTCTGCGACACATAGGGTTATTTGATTTACTTTAACACTGGCATTGAAATATTAAAATTTTAAGTTAATATTTGAGCTATTATCATTATTTATACGTATTTGTCTTCCAAATTCAGATGGCATTCAAAAATGGAAAGACACTTTACAAAAGACGAACGAGTTCAATTCGTCTTTACGTCTGTCGAAAGCTCTAAAAATTCCTAAATTTTGAAAGGGAATTAATGAATGCACTGATGTTAATGGCAGTCAGTTTGAACATTTGTTGAAATGAAAAAAATAATCCCTATGTGATTTGTTAAAATAAATATAACCCCATGTGTCCTGACTTTTAGGCCACCCTGTGGACAAGCACAGATAAATATTTATCGGTCAAACCGATATTTCTTATTTTCTCCGAACACGCACGGAGCCAAATTGAGCACATAACCAGATACGTGATTGTTTTTTTTAGTTATTGATGCCTGAGCTGAGAACATCAACAACTCGCTATAAAACTTGAAAACCCGGAATCGCAGCTGGTGGCAGCTCAAAGCTCCGAGCCAACCTGGCCACCTCCCTCTGTTGTCATTATCACTTTATTTGCCAAATGGGATATAGGCTTCTGAGATTGTGAGTCGTCGCATTCACAACGCGACGACAATGAACAGCTCCCCCAGGTAGCCTCCAGCAGGGCTGTAGGGGCAAGTGCTGCTACACAGCTACAGACAAAGCTCCCCCAGGTAGCCTCCAGCAGGGCTGCAGCGGCAAGTGCTGCTACACAGCTACAGACAAAGCTCCCCCAGGTAGCCTCCAGCAGAGCTGTAGGGGCAAGTGCCGTTACACAGCTACAGACAAAGCTCCCCCAGGTAGCCTCCAGCAGGGCTGTAGGGGCAAGTGCTGCTACACAGCTACAGACAAAGCTCCCCAGGTAGCCTCCAGCAGGGCTGTAGGGGCAAGTGCCGTTACACAGCTACAGACAAAGCTCCCCCAGGTAGCCTCCAGCAGGGCTGTAGGGGCAAGTGCCGTTACACAGCTACAGACAAAGCTCCCCCAGGTAGCCTCCAGCAGGGCTGTAGGGGCAAGTGCCGTTACACAGCTACAGACAAAGCTCCCCCAGGTAGCCTCCAGCAGGCTGTAGGGGCAAGTGTCGTTACACAGCTACACACAAAGTTCCCCCAGGTAGCCTCCAGCAGGGCTGTAGGGGCAAGTTCCGTTACACAGCTACAGACAAAGCTCCCCCAGGTAGCCTCCAGCAGGCTGTAGGGGCAAGTGTCGTTACACAGCTACAGACAAAGCTCCCCCAGGTAGCCTCCAACAGGGCTGTAGGGGCAAGTGCCGTTACACAGTTACAGACAAAGCTCCCCCTGGTAGCCTCCAGCAGGGCTGTAGGGGCAAGTGCTGTTACACAGCTACAAAGCTACCCCAGGTAGCCTCCAGCAGGGCTGTAGGGGCAAGTGCTGTTACACAGCTACAAAGCTCCCCCAGGTAGCCTCCAGCAGGGCTGTAGGGGCAAGTGCCGTTACACAGCTACAGACAAAGCTCCCCCAGGTAGCATCTAGCAGGGCTGTAGGGGCAAGTGCTGTTACACAGCTACAAAGCTCCCCCAGGTAGCCTCTAGCAGGGCTGCAGGGGCAAGTGCTGTTACACAGCTACAGACAAAGCTCCCCCAGGTAGCCTCTAGCAGGGCTGCAGCGGCAAGTGTCGTTACACACACACAAAGCTCCCCCAGGTAGCCTCTCGCAGGGCTGTAGGAGCAAGTGGTATGACCTGGTACACACACAGTGCGCTACCCACTGCACCACCACTCCCCACTCACACAGTGCGCTAACCACTGCACGACCACTCCCCCCCCACACACACACAGTGCACTAACAACTGCACCACCACTCCCCACACACACAGTGCGCTAACCACTGTACCACCACTCCCCCCACACAGACACAGTGTGCTAACCACTGCACCACCACTCCCCACTCACACAGTGCGCTAACCACTGCACCACCACTCCCCACTAACACACACAGTGCGCTAACCACTATACCACCACTCCCCACTCACACAGTGCGCTAACCACTATACCACCACTCCCCACTCACACACACACAGTGCGCTAACCACTGCACCACCACTCCCCACTCACACACAGTGCGCTAACCACTGCACCACCACTCCCCACTCACACACACAGTGCGCTAACCACTGCACCACCACTCCCTACTCACACACACTGCGTTGAGTCCATATTTATAATAAGTCTGGTCACAATTCCAACACAGATGTTTATTTTGATGGTTGAGGCACTAACAAATGACACATTTAAACTTGGAACAATAACTCAAGTCCCAACCCACCTGGGCAATCGACAAGCATGCGGGGGGCGACACTTCACCTCGTTCACGGGAAACTCCGCAGAGAAGCGGGGCCACCCCCCCCCTCTCCCACCACCTCCTCCTTCTTGGATTGTTGGAACCCACTTCCAACAACGGAGAGAGTTTGGCGACTGCCGAGTGTGGCACTAAACGAACTCGAGAAGACGAAAGGAAGGTGGTGGTGGTGGTGAGAGGCGGGCCGGGCTGGTAGTGGGTATGGAATTTTGCCTTCGTAACAGCCGCTACCCGTTTGAAACAATAAGGGTTTGTCCTTCCTACCCGGTATAGGCGCGTCCCTGCGTTGTCGTTGTGCGCAAGGCGCGGCTGCCCTCGGGCCCCCCCTCCACCTCCGCTTAACCTTGGGCAGTCATCGCTCGCTCCCCCGACAAGCACCACCGCTCAGCCCTGAATGAGCGAGGCTCGCACGACGCCGTCCGCTGGGTGGTGGTGGTGGCTGTGGGGGGGGGGGGTTGGTGACGCCCACCCCCCACGTCTATCCGTTCGGGGGGGGGGTACCACGAGGGAAGAGGGGAGAGGGGGCGCCTACTACCTCCCCCACTTAGAAGCAAACGCGCTCACCAACAACAACAACACACACAACAACTTCGCACCGCAGAGCGCGCGCGCGTGTGTGCGTGTAACTCTCAACTCTTTTACGCTGTAACTATAAAAATAAACACGTCCTACACGCTCGAAGCCACGACTCGATGGCAACTCGCAGCGTACTTTGTTTTGGTGTTGGTGAGAAGCTGCGTGCGTTTTGGTGTCCGTTTTTTACCGTGCTTTGATTTTCCCCATGGCTACGGGGGAGGGGGGAGGAACGCAAAAGGGATGCACCACCGTCAATTATTTAGATGCGAGAGGAGGGGGGGCAGGCAGAAGCTGACTGCAGCTGCTGTTGATGCTGGCACCACGTCGTTGTAAGAGAACACCGGACACCCCCCCGTGTCCCTGCCATAATTGGTCTCTTCCAAGAGAGGGCCGGACCCTGGTAGCCTGCCAGGTGACGTCACTGCGCTGGGCCCCATTGGCTGCGAAAGCGAGCGGGGAGGGCTTCGTTTTTCAAAACGGCATCCTGGGGCGCAACAAGCGAATAAGAGACCCAGACCATCGACGCGAAGCGGGGTAGGGAAAGGCAAAAGCTCGCCCGACGGAGAAGCGGCTTGCCGCGCTGTATGAGCTCGGGGGCGGCAGGATGTTGTCGGCCAGGGCCACGGCGGCGGAGAAGGTGGACGGCTTCAGCCGGCGCTCCCTGCGGACGGCCGGACGCGCTCGACGCTCGCAGGGATTATCGCAGATTCGCACGCGAGCTCACCTCGCCCCGCTGCCCGCGCTCGCGGGTGAGTGCGTAGCTGGTCGGCGAAATCGAAAGTGGGGACCCGGCATTGAAAATGGACTTGGTGTTTGAAAAATCCCAATGACAAAAGATGTATGTACATTTTTTGGTTTGCTTTCACTTTTGTAGTGCACGTGTCATTTTGATTTTAAACCATACAAACGAATGGCTTAATCTTCAATGCATTAATATTTGTACAGTATTCAGTAATGGTTTGACATTTTTATTTGTAATTGATGAACATTAAATTGCGTCAACTTCAGATTAATACAGTAGTATACACACTTGGTCTCACTACAGTAATGGTTTGTTTGCTAAATACATAAATTGTTAATCCAGGAGAGGTCTTTTAGGCATTCGGCAATAATGGTGTCTTGAAACCGACGTAACCAGTGGAAACATTGTATTTAAAAGTGGTGCTGCGGTTTATATGAACTTTCAAGCAATGTTGCATACAATAGAACCTTTTTTCTGAGAGTTAAAAAGGAGGCAACTGGTGTTGTGAAGGAAACCGTATTTTATACTGGGCAATGAAAACAAACACTTTTGGTTGTTGAATCGTGACGTGACGTGAGCATACGAGGTTGGCACACGGTGGATTATAGGCTTTATACAAATTCCTCGAAATTTCTACATTTTAAATCTAAAATTTCTAGCGGCAACATAAAAAACCACACATTATTCAGGACATGTACACTGAGCATTTATTGGTGCCTGCGTCTGCTGTTCCTACACGGAGGAAGGTGCAGTAATTTGATCGGAGGATTGTTTGGCGCTGCCGCACAATTTCATGGCCTGCATCCATGACTCGTGTCCACAGACACCCCCGCGTCGGAGCAGGAGGAGCTATTCTGCAAGAAGCTGCAGCAGTGCTGCGTCATCTTCGACTTCCTGGACTCCGTGTCAGACCTCAAGGGCAAAGAAATTAAGCTCGCTGCGCTGAACGAGCTGGTGGACTACATCACGGCAGGGCGTGGGGTGCTCACAGAGTCCGTCTACACGGATATCATCCGCATGGTGAGTACCCATCCTGTGTCCATTGGCCACCCTTTCATTGAGATGTTTGCATTCACAGAACTGATTGTATGGCCAATCTAGGAATCTGGTGATCAATTAGAACTGTGATTTTTGGAAAGAGTATTGTTTTCCTAAATCGTATGAGTCTCAAGAGCCGAGTCGACATTAATGTGGTGAATGTAAATGTCCTGATGCATTTAAGTTGGATACACAGGAAGACCTCGCCGAATATGGGGGTTACATTCCTGGAAAATTCCGTTTTGGGCAAAACCATCCTCGACAAATAATAGACTTTATGGGAAAAAGAGTTGCGCGATTCGGTCCGAAATGATCGTTATTGAACTACTTCTAAATCATTTCTGCCCTTGTAATTGTAATAAAAGATGCTGAGTCACTTTCCATTTCTTTAAGTTTTACCTTAACACAATAGGTGTTATGAAAATTGATGAAAATAATACAAATTAAATGAAATTTGCATAATTTATCCGAAATTATGTTAATTAATGTAATTACGTGCATAAATTATGTTGATTTGAGAGGTAATCATATTAATTTATGCGAGTGGGCGTGGTTATGATAATGCAGGTCGTTATGGATTATCAGGTCGAGTCTCGGTGACGAGGATTGGGTTATGAATTGGAATAACGCGATTGATCGTATGCAGTTCTGTAGGTGTTGTGAGCATAAATGAGAGAGTCGATTCGACTCTGCTCTTTAATTCCGTATTATCGATAAGGATACGATTATCTTCGATTTAACGTTTATTGATTGTGTGTTATGGATTATGTGTGGTGATAGTGTGCTTATGATAGGTCCCCAAGATTCAGATCTCATTCGCAGAACAATATTATGCAGAATTTCATGAAGAATCGCACACAACCTTTATGCTTTAATCAATTTTATTCTCTAGCTAACTTTAATTTTTGTATAATATGAAAACTCTCGACCTTGGAATTTCAACACAGCGTTAACATGATACCATCACGATTGCGTTGTTTAACTTTGATAACGGCACCTGTGGTTAATTCCCGACGCGTAACGCAATCGATCGATTGTTGAGAGAGAGATTAAAAACATGCGAACTATTCTATCAAAACCTTAACCTTATAATATGCAAACTCGTATTCTTGAATTGTTACACAACACGGCACTCGGTCTTTGATTCGTATCCAATCCTTAACACATTTTCTTGTCACGTTGTTAACAGTAGGACGACTGATTATTATGCAACGCTATTCATTGAAAAGGCACTCAACCAGTATTATTCATAAAGGCACCAATATGCGTTAATAGATTCGTCTGGTTCATTCATGGATACCAGCAAGATTATGCAATAAAAAAAACGAACGACTCAAATACTCCCAAGTGATCGTATTCACGATTCTCGATGGCAATGTTTTCCGTTATCAGCTAATATTTGACGCACTTATCCTGAATCTTCTTGTATGTTTTAATGTGCGAGGGTTGTTGATTTCCTCGCCTTAAACAAACGCCTAAGTTGCTTTGCTTGTCAAAAATATGTTTGTTCACTGCGGAGCGGTGGGGGGTGTGAGGGGAGAGTGTGGGGGAGGGGTTGGGGCATTCGAGCGGCTTGTCACAGTTTCTGTCCACCGCTGGCTGGAAGAGTCAGCACGACGCTCGCCGTCGTCGCGCCGATGGGTGTTGAGTGCGGGGCCGCTGCCCTCTCAGCCCTGGTGACGCGAAGTTGTGCGCTGTGGCACCCTGGTGGCACGCTGTTGGCACGCGCTGGTGCTGATGCTGGTGCTGATTGCACGCTGGTGGTTAATGTTGGCATGCGCTGGTGCTGATGCTGGTGCTGATGGCACGCTGGTGGCGCGCGCTCCCTCTCCTTGAAGATGCGCGAACGCGCCCGTGCTGGTTCGCTGACAGCAGTTTCTCTCCACTGCTGGCTGAGCTGCTGCACGCTCTTGCTTGGCGTTCCTGGCCGCGCTCTTTCCGCTGCTGTAGTATCTGACGCTGCGCTCGCGGGCGACAGGTCAAGTTTTCTTCTGCAGAGTGAGCCGAGTCACACGTGCTCTCTTTGTTGAGGTTGTTGGCGGTTCTCTGACAGCAGGTTTCTTCCACTGCTGTATGACTCAAGTCGCACGCGCTTGGTCGCTGGTTTGCTGAAGTTGTTGGCGGCTGTCCAAGCTTTTCCGCTGCTGGTTGAGCCACGTTGCACGTGCTTTCTCTGTGGAGATGCTCAAGCGCTCTCAGAGCTGATTCGCTGATACTTTGTTGGCGGCTGGCCAAGCTTTTTCTTCTGTTGAGTGAGTTGAGTCGCACGTGCTCTCTCTGTTGAAGTGCGCGAACGCCCGCGCTGGTTCGCTGACAGCAGGTTTCTCTCCACTGCTGTATGACTCACTTTCGTTGATACATGGCGACTCAGCGATCCTCGCTACTCAGCGAGGCTCGGAGCCAGCCGCTCCATGCGACTGCTCGTCCTGTGGACATCTTGACTCGCTGATCTGTCTTGACTGAACTTTTGAAAATGCGGCTGACCGTTATATTCAAAGATAATTCTTCTCTCTGTGCAGTGAAGGAGGGGGGGGCGTGGTCTGTGTGTGTGTGTGTTCGTGTGTGTGTGTGTACAGATGGCTCCTGCGATAACGATCTGTTTGCCCTGGCGTGAAATTCCTCTCGTGCTCTGCGGGAGAGACAAAGATGGTCGGGAGCACCTTCTCCCCTCTATACTTTGAGTTAACATCGCTCAAATACAATTTGGTCCCATGTTCGCCAAGACTCGTGTTTGTAACTACGTCCTCCCGACACCTCTCGGGTTAACGAGGTTCGCATTGTTATGATGGAATTATTAAAAAGAAAAATAATTTTCATCCTGAGTTTAAGAGGTCCGTTTCCAGATTGTTGGAATCCATATCCCTTGGTTCTGTAAGGTTCTATAATGGAATATCGTTTAAGGTTAACACGTTATTATTAATGTTATATTGCAATTTTCTTTAAAACTTTGTTTGCCTGGTTGCCGTGTGTGGGGTGTGTCTCCTCATCAAACCCGGCTGGCTTTTCCAGATGGCCCCTTGTGATAAGGTGTGGTTCCTGCTTCTCCGCGCTGCGAGAGAGACAAAGGTGGTCGGGGTTGCTTGGGATATTGTCTAAACTCTTTCGTAAGTTTGCCCGTTCGCCTCATTCCTTCTCGATATCCTTTGATGTGACTCGGTATTCCTGCTCCCAAGTTTGTGATTTAATAGTAAAAGTATTTAAAGGTGAAAATCATTTGATGTCGAATTAATAATTGGATAAGGATTCACTGATGTGTCTGGTGGCCTGGTCTTAATTGGAGTGAGCGTTAGGACCGCTAATTGTATCTTATTCTTGTTGTTGCCTTTTAATTTTTTACCCGTTGTGTTACTGGCAAATAAGAAACAAAAATATGTATACGATTTACCCTGTTGGCGTCTCCGTGCCTACTCTCTTGGTGTTCATCTGGAGATTTTCGCCGATAGCTGTTACATCCTCGCCTTGAGAGTTTTATTATTTCTTTATTTATTTATGGCCTGTTTATGATCTCCATCTGTGTTTGCGTGTTTTTGGGTTTGTGTGTTTTTATGCAGAGTTTGATGTGCCCTAAGGGAGATCACGCAGAGGGAAGCCCTCCGCAAGCCAGACACGAGGACGCCCACGGGTTAAAACATTTTTTTTTCTTTGTCATTAAAACAACGGTTAAAATTTAAAATGCAATAACAAGAATAAGCCAAAGTTAGCGGTCATCGCGCTCACTCCAATTAAGACCAGGCCATCAGATACATCAGTGAATTATTATCCAATAATTAATTCGCTATCAAATGATTTACACCTTTAATACTTTTACTGTTAAAACAAAGCTTGGAGACAAAATACCGAGTCACATCAAAGGTTATCGAGAAGGAATGAGGGAACGGGCAAACTTACGAAAAAGTTTAAACAATATGCAAAGCAACCCCGACCACCTTTGTCTCTCTCGCAGCGCGGAGAAGCAGGAACCACACCTTATCACGAGGGGCCATCTGGAGCGAGCCAGATGGGTTAATGAGGAAATACACCCCACCCAAACACAACAGCCAGCGAACAAGTTTTAAGTTAAAGGAATTGCAATACAAATCACACGTAACATTAATAATAACATGTTAACCTTAAAAGATATTCCATTATAGAACCTTACAGAACCAAGGGAAATGGATTCCAACAATCAAGAAACGGACCTCTTAAACTCAGGATAAACATCTTCATTATAAAATAAATAATAACTCCATCGTAACAACGCGAACCTCGGAATAACCCGAAAGGTGCGTCGGAAGGACATAGTTACAAAACACGAGCCTTGGTAAACATAAGACCAAATGGTATTTGAGAAACATTAAATCGAAAGCAGCCAGAGAGAGAGGTACTCCCGGCCGCCTTTGTATCTCCCGCAGAGCGCGAGAAAGGAATTTCACACCCTAGTGAGGAAAGCTTGATGTTTCGAAGAGGGTCGCCCCTTCCCCCCCCCAGGGGTGTGGCAGATGGCACACAAACACACACACACAGACCACGCCCCCCCTTTCCACTGCGCGGAGAGAATTACTTTTGAATATAACGGCTTTCAAAAGTTCAGTTAAGTCAGTCAAGACAGATCAGCGAGTCAAGACGTCCACAGGACGAGCATTTGTTGAAACAGATGGAATCATGGTCACTGTAAAATAGTGTACTTTATGCTTTTGGAAAGCTATAGAAAGAAGTGTTACTTTAAATGTGGTAATTGGAATTTTGAAACATGGATTTTGATCCTGTCACACTGTTGTCCTACTTTTGCCATTACTTGGCAATCTGAAATCGAACCAACCAACCTGGTAAAAATTATCCTAATTGGTGAAAAGACCAACTACATGGCTCTCCAGCTACCTAGAATGCCCCGAAGTGCTCGTATGATGGGTGCTTTTTTACGATTCCAATGCATGTGCAGGTTTTTTTCTAATAATGACGGTGATTGAGGTTTATAGCTTTTCTTTCAGAATCACTGCCCTGCAATTATCAGTAATTTTAAAATGGAATTATAAGCAATTCTTCTTTCGTCACTGTAAACGGTTCAATACATTCCTGATTTGCCAACGAGTGTCTCTTTGCATATGGCTCTGTGACTCTGGGGTGAAATGTCCCTCCATCACATCAAGTCTGAGTCCGCTGTTGAAAAAAGTATCCGTGTGTCTACTCCAGGTGGCGTACAACATCTTCAGAATCCTGCCGCCAAGTGAGAATCCAGAGTTTGACCCAGAGGAGGATGAACCTACGCTGGAAGCGTCCTGGCCTCACTTGCAGGTCCAAGTCACCCCCCCCCACCACCCTGTGAAGTCACCCTCCCATTTATTTGCATACTTGACAGTGACATATCCTGAAAGGCACTCGGATGCTGCTTTTTTAATACAGTTGTCAACATGTAAGTCGCCGAGTGTAACACCGGAATTCCAGCTTTAGGCTTGGATTAGACAACTGTTGTGTAGGGGTGTCCCCATCGTGGTATCATGCACGTTTGAATGTCATACCTCGTGGTAGGGTCCATTTGATAATTTACAGCACAGTACAGATACAGTGTACATCATGGGACCTCCTTTGTCAGGACTAAGTATGATAATAGGGTTTTCCCTTTTTTCTGGGAACAAAACAGGTGTTAAGATGTTAAAACACCAAACTGAAACCTATTTCAAGGAATCATGTCTGCATTAACCACAATACTTGTGGTCAGAATGCAAACAAAAAACGTACTCTGATAATATATGCATTGTCTTTGAAACTGATTGGTCCACACCAGAGACAGCTTTCTTTTTAGCCTTGTCCCAAACGGTGTTAGACCAGAGGATGCCTTTTCAGATACAGTGCAGTGTATTTATGTATGTAAATTAGAAATTGAGTTATTTTTTCTTTATTAAGTTTGTGTTAAATTATACGAAATTATAATGAGTGTCTTCTTGGTTCTTTCGGTAAAGTCACGTAGAATGGAAATAAAAGAATAAAAATAAAACATAATAAAATAAGATTAGAATCTTATTTAGAATCTTATTTTATTATGTTTAATTTTTATTATTTTATTTCCATTCTACGTGGTGACTTTACCGAAAGAACCAAGAAGATGAATCCCTGCAGTCACGAAAGCTTTAAATCGAAATATAATGAGTGTTGTTTGCCCTATGTGTTTGCGTTAAAGGGGACTGAATTGTGCCTTTTGCATCACTTTCTCACACTCCTGCATTGTTTTTTGTCTCCTATGAACCTCTCCTTAGATCGTCTATGAATTTTTTATAAGTTTTTTGGAACAGCAGGAGTTCCATCCCAGCATTGCCAAGAAATACATAGGCAAGAAGTTTGCACTGCAGGTGAGTGTTATAGCTGAGTGAGGGCCTGCAATCCCCTTGTCTTTCACACCTTGTTGCCAGTTACATAGCAGAGGAGTTTTTAAATATAATTTTCAGACAACTGCTGAAATTGCCATCATCAGGTTATAGGGACTGCTTGTGTACAAATCCCGCAAAAAAATGTTCACCATTGAAAGACTGACATTTTTACACCCTCCTGTTGTATATGAGCCTTTTCCAAAATTGATATTAACAACAATATTTGCCGTTATATATAATATTTTTTTTACAAATGAAAAAAATGATCAATAAAACCCACAAACCCAAAAACACGAAAAACCAGATGTCGATCATAAACAGGCCATGGATAAATAAGGAAATAATAAAACTCTCAAGGCAAGGATGTTAACAGCTATCTGCGAAAATCTCCAGATGAACAAGAGTTTGATGGGCCCCTTAGGAAAGGTCCCTCCGAGGTCAGAACACTAAGAGAGTAGACACGGAGACGCCAACAGGGTAAATCGTATACATATATTTTTTTCCTTATTTGCCAGTAAAACAACGGGTAAAAAAAAATAAAAGGCAACAACAAGAATAAGATGAAATTAGCGGTCCTAACGCTCACTCCAATTAAGAACAGGCCACCAGACACATCAGTGAATCCTTATCCAATTATTAATTCGACATCAAATGATTTTCACCTTTTAATACCCTTACTGTTAAATCACAAACTTGGGAGCAGGAATACCGAGTCACATCAAAGGTTATCGAGAAGGAATGAGGCGAACGGGCAAACTTACGAAAGAGTTTAAACAATATCCCAAGCAACCCCGACCACCTTTGTCTCTCTCGCAGCGCGGAGAAGCAGGAACCACACCTTATCACAAGGGGCCATCTTCCAGCCAGACGGGTTAATGATAAAACACACACAACAGCCAGGGAACACGTTTTTAAGTTAAAGAAGTGGCTACACATCAGTCACACATAAAATTAAGAATAACGTGTTGACCTTACACGACATTCCATTATAGAACCTTACAGAACCAAGCGATATGGATTCCAACAATCAAGAAACGGACCTCTTTAAACTCAGGATGAAAATTATTTTTCTTTTTAATAATTCCATCATAACAATGCGAACCTCGGTAAACCGAGAGGGGTGTCGGGAGGACGTAGTTACAAACACGAGTCTTGGCGAACATGGGACCAAATGGTATTTGAGAAATATAAAGTCGAAAGTATAAAGAGATAGGTACTCCCGACCACCTTTGTCTCTCCCGCAGAGCGCGAGAGAGGAATTTCACGCCAGGGCAAACGGATCGTTATCGCAGGAGCCATCTGCCGCACACACGGGACTTAATAGTGGCCCCACCCCACCCTGCACACGGGCAGCAAAAGAGCGAGCGAGCTTTAAGTTAAATAAACTGCCACACATTTATATATGATAAGACACACAGAGTGACGAAAATTAATAAACTAAGTAGGAGCCAAGATAACGGGGTGGATCAGGCTGGTTGAATGTGGAGTCGAAGTGATATTTGAGCGACGTTAACACAAAGTATAGAGAGATGGGAAGATCCCGGCCACCTTTGTCTCTCCCCGCAGCACGTGAGAAAATGCATACGCTCGGAAGAGCATCTTCACTTGGAAACAAAATCAAATACCCCGAACCACAAGCAGAATCATATATGGGTACGGTACAATACCAACTGTGATGTGAAATGTTAAACTTTAAAAATCTTAACCATTTCTTTGTGCGTCGGAAACGTGTACGAAAAAGGGGGGGGGGGGGGGGGGAACCCGCCCCTCTCTCTGGATGAACAGCGTCGACAGACAGACGCCTTCGAGATGAATCGAAGCTTCTGTTTACTTGATGGTTTGTGGCTTGAGGAAGACCCGAACAGAACCAGGACACAAACACACACACGAACGCACACACACACACAGACCACGCCCCCCCTCCCTTTACTGCAGAAGAATGTCTTTGAATATAACGGTCAGCGCATTTTCAAAAAGTTCAGTGAAGCAGCGAGTCAAGACAGATCAGCGAGTCAAGACGTCCACAGGACGAGCAGTCGCATGGAGCGGCTGGCTCCGAGCCTCGCTGAGTAGCAAGGATCGCTGAGTCGCCATGTATCAACAAAAGTGAGTCATCCAGCCAGCAGTGGAGGAAACCTGCTGTCAGCGAACCAGCGCGCGCGTTCGCGCACTTCAACAGAGAGAGCACGTGCGAATCAACTCACTCAACAAGAAAACAATCTTGGCCAGCCGCCAACAAAGTATCAGCGAATCAGCTCTGAGAGCGCTCGAGCATCTCCACAGAGAAAGCACGTGCAACGTGGCTCAACCAGCAGCAGAAAAGCTTGGACAGCCGCCAACAACTTCAGCAAACCAGCGACCAAGCGCGTGCGACTTGAGTCATACAGCAGTGGAGGAAACCTGCTGTCAGAGAGCCGCCAACAACCTCAACAAAGAGAGCACGTGCGACTCGGCTCACTCAGCAGAAGAAAAACTTGACCTGTCGCCGGCGAGTGCAGCGTCAGATACTACAGCAGCGGAAAGAGCGCGGCCAGGAACGCCAAGCAAGAGCGTGCAGCAGCTCAGCCAGCAGTGGAGGAAGCTGCTGTCAGCGAACCAGCACGGGCGCGTTCGCGCATCTTCAAGGAGAGGGAGCGCGCGCCACCAGCGTGCCATCAGCACCAGCATCAGCACCAGCGCGTGCCAACAGCGTGCCACCAGCGTGCCACAGCGCGCAACTTCACGTCACCAGGGCTGAGAGGGCAGCGGCCCCGCACTCAACACCCATCGGCGCGACGACGGCGAGCGTCGTGCTGACTCATCCAGCCAGCGGTGGACAGAAACTGGCAGCCGTTCGTATGCCCCCCCCCCACACTCTCCCCCCTCCTCACTCCCCCACCGCTACACAACGAACAAAATATTTTTTGACAAGGAAATCAACCTAGGCATTTGCTCAAACATACAAGACTCATGATAACTATTAGTTGATTACGAAAAACATCGCCACCCATTGAGTTACGTTGATGAGGCAATCAGAATTATTTCAGTCGAACGCTTTAATTGTATAATCGTTGATGAATCAATGAACGAACATCGCCGTGGTACTGTGCTGACGATTTCAAGCATAATCATTTCGCATATCAGAATGTGTTAAGGATTGGATACGAATCAAAGACCGAGTGCCGTCTTGTGTAATAATTAAAGTATACGAATTTGCATATAATAGAGTTAAGGTTTGATAGAATAGTTATGCATGTTTAATCTCTCTCTCAACAACCGATTGATTGCGTTACGCGTCGGGAATTAACCACAGGTGCCGCTATCGAGGTGAAACAACGCAATCGTGATGGTATCATGTTAACGCTGAAGTGAAATTCCAAAATCCCGAGATTGAGTTTTCATATTATCCAAAAATTAAAGTTAGCTAGAAAATAAAATTTATTATAGCAGAAGGTTTGTGTGTGATTCTTCCTGAAATTCTGCATAATATTGTTCTGCATATGAGATCTGAATCCTTGGGACCTATCATAAGCACACTATCACCACACACAATCCATAACACACATAATTCATAATGTTCAATCGAGAGTAATCGTATCCTTATCGATAATATGGAATTAAAGCAGAGTCGAATCGACTCTCTCTCATTCGTGCTCACAACACCTACAGAACTGCATACGATCAATTGCGTTGTTCCAATTCACAACCCAATCCTCGTCAACGAGGCTCGACCTGCATTATCATAACCACGCCCACTCGCATAAATTAATACGATTATCTCTCGAATCAGCATAATTTATGCACATAATTACACCAATTAACATAACTTCGGGTAAATTATGCAGATTTTATTTAAGTTTTTATTATTTTCATCAATTTTCATAACACCTATATATACAACACTCCCCAAGAGTAATAGGTGTGACATAATTAGGCTGCAGTGTTAAAAATGAGGTCATGACATCCTCTGCCACAAGATCATAGTCATACAGTTGCTGTTTTCCCACTGTTACAGTTGAATCTGTGTTCTTTCCTGTATGATACATGAAGCAGCTCGATGCGCAGCAAACTGCAGGCTCCTGTTTTCACATCTTGAACTGCGGTAGACTGGGCACATTGAATTTTATAAAAACAAATTGTGTGGGGTGCACCAAAAGTGTTGGCATCCATGGTTGTGGCTTTCTTAAAATAACAGCATTGGCCTGTCGAGTGATAGAAGGCGAGGCGTTGGAGACGCGCTCTTGTGGAGATGGTAATGGGCCGTGTTGCTGGGCACAATTATGCTGGCCGCTTGCCATGTTGGACCAGTATTTTTTTTAAAGTTTTTTTTATTGCAAACGATATGTTTTTGTTTCCCCCCCCCTCCCCCCAGATGTTTCAGTTTATCATAGGTGCGTGTTAAAATATAATTGGGTTAAATGTACCCCATTATACGCTGCGCACTGGTGGTGTCAGTAATGAAAGACCTCATGTGGAAAGCACAATTGTACATTTAAGATGTTTCCATAAAACATGGAAGTGGCAAGTTAAAAGGTCCTTCAAATCTCACATTGAAAAACAAAATAGCTTTTATTTTTAAAGGGTTCACAATTTATCTCCTGTGCACTTATGCTGTAAAGCTACAACATTTAAGCAGACGACTATTTAAATGCATCTTTTGATAATTTGAAACATCCAATAAGGTTTTAATTTAATTAAAAACAACTGAAAAGTTTACAATTCCAAATAATGCACTGCGTTTTATTACTTTGCATGTAACCTCGTACTTGACTGTTAGCTATTCACTTTGTTTGATTCTGTATCTACCTGCTCGTCATCCTTGAGAACAGCTGCACTGCTTTCAGAAATCATACTGCAGCTTAAACAAAGATTGAAATCCTGCACCCTCTCAATCAGATTATCTCCATGCCTGACAACACATTACACCGCATACACATGTAAATTATATCAACAGTGATATCATTTCCATTGGACGTCTTTACTTTTAATTATATCCACCTACATTTTTATTTAAAGCTTTCGTGACTGCAGTGATTCATATTCTTGGTTCTTTTGGTAAAGTCACGTTGAAGGGAAACAATAAAATATATATATAAAACAATAAAATTCTCACGACGTTTCGACTGCAACACAAGCAGTCATCATCACACCTGATGATCACACCTGATGATGACTGCTTGTGTTGCAGTCGAAACGTCGTGAGAATTTAATTGTTCTATATATATTTTATTATTTTATTGTTTCCCTTCAACGTGACTTTACCGAAAGAACCAAGAATATATGTCCACCTTATTCATACAGTGTTGTCATACCTGACAGAGAAAATGCATCCTTGGTTGTAGTAAACTGTTTGCTCGGGCTCTTCCGGCAGCTGCTGGAGCTGTTTGACAGTGAGGACCCACGTGAGCGGGATTTCCTCAGGACGGTCCTGCACAGGATCTATGGGAAGTTGTTGGGCCTTCGGGCCTTTATCCGCACGCAGATCAACAACATTTTATTACGGTGAGCGGTCTGCCTGAGGTGAACATTCATTGTAAAACTAGGGGTTTTAGCATTTGGGTTTAGCTGAAAACATGCCTTATCTAAGTACGATGTTAAAAGTGAAGCGCAAGTACTGTAAACATGATGTTCTCTGTGCAGTGGCGTTGACAATGATGAATTCATTTCCACATTTGTATCTTACCCTTGGCACTTTGTGGAGGTGTGGATTTAATTTAGAGATTCCGACGTATTTTAGAATACCAATGGCACAAAAACTTTGCGTGTAGTGTGCCAAGGGATTAAACTTGTCGATAATCATGAGCGGTGTGTACATCCCATAGGTATATATATGAAACGGAGCGGTTCAATGGCGTGGGAGAAATTCTGGAGATTTTGGGAAGGTGAGAGCATGGCAGCCCTGCCTGCGTGAGGCACCGGCTGTGTCGATGTAAACATGTCTGTCAAATTTGTGTTTTTGTTTTAAATCACGGTCCCTGCTGCATTGCTTCACCACACAAGCACTGCATCACTATCGACCGCAAGAACCAACCAGCCTCAAGACAACGTTGTTTGCTTCGACTAAAAATGATGAAGTTATGAGAACACGGCACTTTTCCCTTGTTTTACTAATAATCTTGTCATATATTTGAGCAATTAGAGACTTGTATGCTTTAAATTATTATTACAAAAAAATTAGTACATATGGGATGGCTGGAAATATGAAACACTCGTGACGACAAAACGTGGGCACGCCCAGTAAGACTTTTAGATTACAGCAATGAGATCAACATTCTGAAATTACCCCAGCATCAAATTCTGATTTAAAGCTTTCGTGACTGCAGAAATTCATATTCTTAGTTTTTCGGTAAAGTCACGTTGAAGGGAAACAACAAAATAATAAAATATATATAAAACAATAAAAATTCTCACGACGTTTCGACCATAACACAAACGGTCGTCTTCAGGTGTGTCGGTTTGCATTAATTAATTTATTTATATTTTATTATTTTGTTGTTTCCCTTCAACGTGACTTTACCGAAAGAACTAAGAATACCCCAGCATCGTTAAGAGGCTTAAGTATCCAGAGAGCCCGTCGAGGGGGAAGGAGAGGGGGGGGGGGAATGAGGTGAACCGTTATGTAAGCAGCTCAAAGCGTACACACCAACAAGTATGGAGCTGACATTTACGTTGCTTGTTTGATGGTTTGCTGCCCCTCCCCTCCGTTCCCCCCCCCCCCATGGCGATGTCTTTGCAGCATAATCGATGGATTTGCTCTGCCGCTTAAGACCGAGCACAAGCAGTTTCTGGTGCGGGTCCTTCTCCCACTACACACCGCCAGGGGCCTCTCCATCTTCCATGCCCAGGTGGGGCCATCAATGTCAAGGCCGTTTGCACAAGGGCCTATTTGTCAGAGATACACCGCATGTAATTTTGTTCTCTTATATATCAGATTTCAGCTGCATATATTTGAATCACCTTGGTGTGCCTGGTTCTGGCTGTTTGTTGATTTTTTTTGTTCTTCTATAGTTGGCGTACTGCGTGATGCTGTTTTTGGAGAAAGATGCCACCCTCGCCGAGATTGTAAGTCTTGAGGTTTGATGGATTGACTTCTGATGAAATGGTGCATTAAGATAGACATTTTAAAAATGCGTATTATTTAGTCAATTGGTCAATGGGTGATGTCTTCCAGGTTGTGAGGGGACTGTTGAAGTACTGGCCAAAGACCTGCAGCCAAAAGGAGGTTTGTACCACTTATTTTTTTTTGGAACACCAGTCATTGTTATAACAGTATAAACTGTGCATCAGATAAAGCTCTTGCAGGTGGTAATTTAAAAACCGTGCCATTTTTATTTCGTGACGTGTTATAATGGCACATCAGACCATGTGAAAACATTGTAACCTTGTATTTATAGTTTTTTCAGAAACAAAAAGAAGAGTGCATGGATTAGAGGACATAATTATAACATAAGAAAAGTAAGTTGGATTGAGCAGGCCACGTCGCTAAGAAGGGATGATGGCCGGTGGTTGAGAATAATGACAGAGGGGTAGCCAAGGAATGAAGCGTTTGAGAGGATGTCCCCTGAGGATATGGGGAGTAATGAAATTGGCTAGTATGCATGTGTTAGGTGGAATTCTACATCGCAAGATTGAAAGATGGCAGTAGCTTAGGGATGCCTCTATCCATCAGTAGATTGCCCATGGCCAGGGGGTGGGCAATCAAAATAACAAGAAGAGACAAAACATTTTTATTGGGTTAAAAACGATTTCTTGAGCCGCAATGCATGTGAATATTAGACAGTCCTTAATAAATAACATCACGAAGTTGTCCTTAAAGAGCTGCATGCGCCTCTAGCCGCAGGTTGCCAATCCCTGACCATGGCTGATGATAACAGAAAAACATATTTTGATTGTTTGGTTGAAAGGTCCCCATGAAGAAATGTTTCTATGTGGTCATTGTTGGCGTGATGTGTTGCACACAGTGCCTCATCATTGTATAACCCCACAGGTGATGTTTCTGGGCGAGGTGGAGGAGGTCCTGGACGTTATTGAGCCGACGCAGTTCGTGAAGATCCAGGAGCCGCTTTTCAAGCAGATATCTCGCTGTGTGGCTAGTCCACATTTGCACGTAATTATTTTAGTTAAAATTCTTCCCATTAAAGAGCCTTTTCTTCCAACATGATTGACTGTGCTTTGTGCTTCCAGGAAAACACACTATTATAAACCTTGTCAGTTGCCTACAGCAGAGCATCTTCGTGGTGGCAATCAATACTTAAAATCTGTAACATAGATAATGTCGCATTGCACTGGCACTTGAATTTGCTTGGTGGCATAACATTCATGCTCTGCTCAGAATTTCAAAATAAATTTTATAACAAGACTTTTTTTATCATCGATTCTCCATAATAAAAACAGTATTCGACCACATTGGTGTGGCTCATTGCACAATTAATTTCACAGGATGTATTTTTTTACGTTTTCTTTTGAGCCTGTTGACTTGTCCCTAGTGCAGTGTGAAATGGTGTGTTTCTATATAAGGCCCTGCTTCGACTGGTCTCCCACGTAACGTCCATTCTCGCGTGATTGTGCTTTTTTAGGTGGCGGAGCACGCCCTTTACTACTGGAACAACAAGTACATCCTGAGTCTCATCGAGGAGAACTCCAACGTCATCCTTCCCATCATGTTTGGCAACCTGTACAAGATGTCCGAAGAGCACTGGAACCAGTTGAGTGCTACCGTGCTCGCAGAATGCGTGGGTGTGTGTTGCTTGGACAAGGGAAAGTTATTTTTCTTCCAGAAATACTCTTGGGACCGTGTTGGCAGGAATGCAAATATAGTATGGCAGGAGGTCCGTTGTTAATGTTCTAGTTGGCTATTGTCGTGCTTTCAATGTGTATTGTTGTGCCTCCACTCGAAACAAGGTGGATGCTTCAATGTGTTTCCACCCTCGCCAACCTGTGTTGCATGCAGGACGATCTTAGGTTTGAATTTCAACGTGATGAAGACTATGATGGACATGAACTGCGAACTGTTTGGCGAACTGACGGAGTCCTACAACAACGAGCGGCAGCGGTGCGTGCTCCCTAATGCTGATCGCGGGATGGATGGATACGTTAAAGACTGAAGCTAGTGCGTCCTAATGTTGGTCACATTAAAACCTATAGGCAAGAAATGTGCACATATCAAAACTTTTCATGGGCTGGAGTTTTCTGTAGTTAATAGGTAGGGAGAGGGTCTTTCATTTTTCAAATCAATATACTTATCCATGTTGAAATTACAAGTGCAGGAATATGTAGCTGCCAACTAAAACAATGTTTTGTTATTTATGTAATTTACCCAAAAGTTTGATTCTTTCCCACTTTTAACAAAATTTTACATTTCCAATAGTTATGTTGAACTGTGTTTTCACAAACTGCACTGCACATAGCTGTTGCAGTACAATTGAGTTTTTTATAGTGATGTTCTAAAGCTTAAGTTGTTGCCATATTGAAGGTCCACCTGGAAGCTAATCTTCAATACTGGGGAGGGTTCTGATAATTAAGCAGTGCTTTGCTTCCTCAGGCTACTCAAACACATTTGCCACAAGACATTCTGGTTTAAATTTAGCCTCAAAATAGGTGCAAAATACCTTTCAAACTTTTTTCCCTAATTTTTGCAAAACTTTACTTTTTACATACAAACAGAAGTCCACCATGTATGGTAACATTCTGTTAAAACCAATTGTTTGTGCTTGTAATAGTGAAAAGAAAAAGGAAGAGGAGAGGGAGGAGTTGTGGAAGAAGTTGGAGGATCTTGAACTGAAGAATTTTCAAAACAATATCCTGGTCAAATAATGGTTTGTTATTTTTCATGCAAATTTCCGTGATTTAGTTTCAGCTGAAATACATTTGCAGAATTCTCTCTTGTGTGAAGCAGTCGACTATTAAAGCCTCTTGAAAGTTTCAAGAGGAAGTGAAGATGTTGACCGTGAATTATGTCAAATACTGAAGAATATTCTCTTCTCAGCTTTAAAGACAGCAGTATAAAGCCGCACATGTTCAACGCAGACAAGGAGCAGCATCACCAAACAGAATATTACTGCAAATCACCACTCCTAACGGTAGCAACGATAATATTGGTTTACATTTAATCTTTTTAAAAAGTTCAAACAAATATAAACAACCTAAAACAGAAAATGAAGGAATCTTGCTGAAAATGTTTCTGAGAAACCCATGTAAAAAAAACCCTGAACGCAGTAACCATCCGTTTCAAAAGAAGCCGCCACCATGTTTTACGTTTACAGGATTCATGGGACTTGTGCTTGCAAATGCGTTTACCGTGTGGACTAAGGAATCGAGCACAACTTTTACAAAGTGCGCGTGTCGCTGTAGAGTCACAAGCCTCTACGTGTTCGCTACCGGGGCAATTCTTCAAATGGACACAGATATATATAAAATAAGATTATACACACAATAGCTACAACTACTGCATTGACACAATTTGTGGAGCGCTTGAATGTTGCTCGTATGTGCGTGGACCCCTGAAACGATGGAGACTACTGCTTATGTATATGTTACAGAGGTTACAAATAAAATCCAGTTGAGATATGTTTGAGATATGATTCGAATACAATATATAAATATATAAAATTATGTTTTGAGCTCTGAGGATCTTAAGTGACCAGAGTTTTGAATCATTCCGTGGGTGTTCTGTAAGTTTTGCGAATGCATCGTCCGTCTGCTGTGCTAATTAAACGTTAGGGCTTATAAAGCCAGTGAGCAGTATTTAACACACAATAGTAACAAATTTAAACCTTGAAGTGCGCTTTTTCTCCGAGTACAATCGTAGGCGTGAAATGTGTGGGATGGAGCGCGTTGTTGGCCACCCTCTAGATCCATTAACTATTAATATTATTACTAATGAATGTAAAAAAGAGCTTGTGTGTGTGCACAGTGATCACTGTTAAGGTATTTCTATATTACCTAATGAAATTGCATACTTCAGCCAGATGACATTGTATATTATAATAAACACTGTAGTTTTTGTTTATAGCCATTTTAAAATGTATAATGCTCATGATACTTTTTTCTGTTGCAGTTTGAAGGTGCCTTATTTGTTTTTATTTAGTTTCCATTTAATTAAATTAACAACTTTTGGTTAACTTAAAGCAAGGTGACTCGGCTTATTTTTTGGCAGCTTTTGAGTGCTTTACTCCCAAGTTGCTGACGTCACGGATAGGTTTATTTATTTTGAGATGTATGTTTATGGCAAAGCGAATTAAGGAATGTCTGAGCTGAAGTGAAGACACTTTGTTAACACACTGACTAACCAGGGGTTCCTGTACTTCTGTTTGTATGGTAACCGGGTTATAATTTAACATTTCTCAAATCTCCTTCACGATAAAAGATTCAACACCATCACATTTTGTGTCCCAGTGTTATTTATTTCCAGCGGTTATGGGGATAGGAAGTACCTTGCCAACTCATGAGGTCCAAGCTTATCTATGTTCGTCAAATTTGCAATCATTTCTTTTTTTACCATCTGGTTTCCTCATCATGAAGGGCCCCCCTTGTTTTTAACCACCATGTACACAACCCCTCAACAAACCCTCATCCAAATAAGTTGTTTAATTTGTTATCAAGTCGACCTTGAACCATCTCGCATAGTCTGATCACAGATGTCCCAGCCCGCTTTTGCCAGTGCATGGTTTAGAAGGTTACTGTGCTCTCTCTTGCACTCAATTGTATTGTTTCTGTGCAACCCTCCATTGAAATAGGGGCCACTTTGTTACGGGACACTAGCCTGTGATGAATACTCTAAATGAACAGTATAGGGTTGTATTGTGTAGTGCATAATGCTCCGTTCGCTATAAAGGTCATTCAGTCAACTTGTAAATAAATGAACACATTTACTGTATATTGGCAATAACAATAAGGCATGGAATTCCTGAGTGCAATGGACAACCGATGTTTAACTAGAAGCATTTAAAATGTCAGAATCCACTTCGCAAGTCAAATTGACCCACTGATTAAGTAAATATTCTCATTTTAAATCGGTCTGCTTCATTTGGTAGAAAAAAAGCAACAGACAACTTGAAAATCCAGGGCTTTGGTGTAGTTTTATTGCAATCGTGTATTTAGAGCAACTGGCATCTTGAGTGGCATTTATTTTTCATTAACCAAGAAAGGTGATGGCCTTAAAAGGAAATAACCAGTACAGGGCGTTTCACAGTTATATGGTTGCTGACATGTTTTCGCAGGCAATCACTTATTCCAAATGGAAACCATGCCTTAAAATGTAAATGCGTCGTGCTATGTCCAGTATTAGCTTGCCCCCGCTGGCCTCAAGGTGGGCTAGCACATTCAGTGTTAAGGTATTTAGGAAGGTGGCAAATACTTGTCTTAGCTTAGTTTAAAATCTGCCCTGGAGCAGATAATGGTCTTCATTTCCATTGAATTTATAAAACAGCATAAATCTAAATTGCGCTGCTGGTAAGGGTTCTTTAAGTTCAGATTACGACTGTCTTTTGAAGGTACTCTCAAGCTTAATAAGATTGATCGACAAAACCTGTGGCTTTCTGAACAACAAGGCAAGACTGGGTATTAGATGCATTTGTGCAAACATTTACACCTCCGCAATAATGGTCCATTAAAAATGGTAATATTTGTGAGTGGTTTGCACCGGCTGCAACGATGAAAGTGATGGCCTGTTTTTGCAGTACTGTATGTCTTTTGGTGTGAATGTTTTTCAAAGCTAAACAACGTAGCCTGATGTTCAGCAGCACAACTAGCTGTAAGGATCATTTTTTAGTCTGCCCCCCCCCCCCATCGCGACCAATATCCATAATAGAGGTTTTGTTTTTTTGGGTTAGATTACGTAAATATATAAACGTATCGTTAAACCCACCACCACCCGACACAGCCAACTAGTAAGGGTTGTCACGAAAACAGAACATACCAATTCGTCACTAGTACAGCACTAACCGGTGTGTTGGAGAGCCAAGCCACAACATTTACAATCTGAGTACGACGTTTCGACAGTAATTACAACTAGCTTCATCAGGAACGAAACAGGTGGACTTCTCCACAAATCACGCCCTTATAACACAACAAAATGTACGCCTCTATAAAGCCTCACACCTCTATAACCCAAAACAACTCTTATGAACAATGTTCTCGTGTTTTGAAAAATGTACCGGTCCAAATCGAGTGCTCGTTTCACATATGCTCGTGTATATTTAGCCTACATTGGTTATTTTGAATGCCAAAGTTTGACATCGTGCCTACCGCATCGACGAAGTCTAACGTTGACAGGGTGAACCCTCATTCATCGCTCTGAATGAGGGTTCACAAATGGGACAGTGATGGCAGAATGCAAAAGCCTGGAGGACGGAACCCATAAATATGATCCTGGCGTGAAGCCCAGAAGGATCTTAATTCTGGACTGTTTATGGCTGGCTGGGTTTCCATGGTTTGGTGGTCTGAACTCTAAAGATTGTGCTTTGTTTTTCAAGAACGCGAGGAATTCATGGGCGGCTGAAGGGGTGGCATTGACTATTAATGTTTACAGTACGTGAAGTTCTGAAGCCTGCACCTCACTCGATCTTATCACGATGGACAAAGCTTGCTATTGAACTACAGTAGTTTGCTTTGAAAATAGCGCATCACTGAGCCTCGCGTTCAACACCGAATTCGGTGATCGCGCGCCCCCTGGTGACTTCGAGGAGAATGAAAACGGCAGTCGGGCGCGGCTGCTTTGAAAGGCTTCTCGATATTTTTGTAATTTACAATGAGTTCAGTTTTTGCCGAATCGTATTCTAAACATGTTCTGGTATGGCTTGGCTAACTTCATTTCTATTTTCGGCGGTACGTCACATCTGCGTCCCTCTGCTTCGCCAACCCGAATCGATCATGAAATATTGCATTAAATAAATGCTGCAACAACAACAAAAATAATTCAAGAAGGTCGTGTGACAAATGGAATTTGTAAAAAATAATAATGTGGAGGGACATAAATGGCAAGGAGACGTATCCAACAGTGGGCTGTACATGTACACACGTGCGCATAATATTAACACATGCACAATATGCATCCACAATACAGTACATGACTAACATGTCCAGGATTTATTTCACTTGCTCACGCCTCTGCGAGTGGAAGGACGTCCAGTCTAAAGGGGTCCTCTGGAGGGTATTTGGCCTACTCTTACACACTGGCCAGACGTCTTGGAAGAGTTGGAGCGCACATGCTTTACCTCGCCACACGCGACCTGCGGGTCGACTCTTTGCACTCAACTGTTGGGTGGACAAGCGGAGATTTTTCAATAAGAAACATGTGAACAGTGTTTCATGGATTGCAAGTCCAGTGTGCTAACCATTACACCACGGCCGCTTCCCACTTTAAGATACAATATACAGCAGAAAAAAGACAGATCCCCATATATAATTGGGCCATTGGGGATAGTGCCTATTTGCAAACACTATTTCAAGTCTGAATTTAGGTTATAGAAATCGCAATATATCTCAAAATCACGGGTTTTAAAACCCCTTTTAGCACATACGGATTTTCCCAGCAAAAAATCCGTGACAAAATTAGCTATTTCCCCATTTTTGTTATTTAAATGTACGATTAGCTTTGTAAATATGTATCTACTATGGTTTAACCAAAATCGGTAACCTACAACTTGAAGTGGTGAATGTGTCTGAGCCGTGAAGAGAGAAATGATTTGGTGACGCTGCTGCTGCATTGACTGGTGCACAGTTAACAAAACTCAACTATAACATCCCCTTAATAGAAAAATATATATTGGCGAAAATTTGACAAAGGTGTTGAGATTTTTTCCGACAAGTTTGCTCCACAGCCAAAACCAAGCCTGGGCTTTGGGGGAGTGAATGATTTATGGCGATTACCCAAGCTGCGAACTGAGGGGAACACAAAGTCAAGGCTTTCGCACTGACAATCTTTGAGCGTGGGACGACTTTGTGTAATATGGCGAGATCTGACCCAAAAATGTTTAAACTTCCTAAGCTCCTAAACACTTGGCCAGAAGAGCTCAAAAGCACCACATTTGCTGGAATGGAGCCTAAAAAAAACTGCACGACATTTCATCAAAAATGTTTTATTAATCGCATTTCACGACGGCTTAAAAAAAAACACCCCAACTGTGTGCAAAAATTGCTCAATCTGGCGACCGTGCCGGCCTACAGGGTGAGCCGCATCAACAGTGTCTCAACAGCGAGACGGTTGCTTACATGGCCAAGACAAATGAGCAACTGTGCGCTTAGCAAACGTTGATACTGGAAGGGTTTAAACTTATGAGTGGAGGCTGTTGTCTTTTGGAGTCGAGGATGGAGTCACAATTTGCAATGCTGTACAGTACAGGGTTTCATGCAGAACTGGGATATCCGATTATTTCGGCAATCGAATCCTCTACCGATTATAGATTCAAGTACTTGCCTGCAGTAAATGGACAGTTCCAAATCTGGCCCCTCTTGTGCCGCTGGACGGGAGGTGGTGGGCGCGAATTGGTGGGTCATGGTGTTGTATATGTGGGTGTGTGAAAATTGATGAAAACAATTAAAATTAAATGAAATTCGAAATTTGCATAATTAATCCGAAATTATGCTAATTTGTGTAATTATGCGTGTAACTATGCTAATTAGAGAGGTAATCGTATTAATTTATACGAGTGGGTGTGGTTGTGTTAATGATAGCCTTTATGATAATCAGGCCCCGCCTCGTTGACGAGGGGGGGTTATCAATCAGGATAACGCAATCAATCGTGTGCAGTTACGCTAGTGTCAATTCGGCCTCGTTGTCTAACTTCGCATTATTGATCAGCATAATACAATGATTCTCGCTTTAACACTCCCCGAGTGTTCATATTTTAGGTCCCAAGTTCATATCATTCGCTTTAATTAACGTTTAATGAGTGTGGATTGGTGTGTTTATAGTTTAGGTTCCCGAGTTCATATCTCGTCGCAGGATACAGATCTTATGCAAAAACTTCAGGAAAGAATCACACGACCACTTCTGTATTAATCAATTTATTTTCTAATTAAACCTTAACTATAATATGTATGTGAACTCTCAATCTCGGAACTTCAACACGGTATCCACACGGTATCAAGACAGTATCATCAACGACTGTACGATTTCACTTTGATAACACATGGACCCCGCATAAAGCGATTGCTGTTAGTGAGAGAGAGAGTCAGAACATGCAAATGCTATGCTACACAAAAGCTTATACATTATAATATGAACGATCATTATGCTTGAAATGGTCAGCACATTATCACAGGCGATTGATTAACATGCAACGGTATTCATATAAAAAGACAATCAAACAGTTATTATTTCCAAAGGCATAAATGTAACAACAGATCCACCGGACAGACTATAAGATTACCGAAATGGCTT